AAAAACTACATGCCGTTTGTTTTTGGGATCATTTTGTCGTTTTTTTTTTTTTTTTTTTTTTAGGTAGTTTATAAGAGAATTTTACGCCTGTTTTTGTTTTATATAAAAGGCGTGTCACTTTCAATTCTCATAATTGAGGTTTGTTTTTTTGCTAGAACACATTTTCAGGTTTTTTATAAGATAATAATAATCTGCTCTCGGTTAGATTAGGAATGGCATGAAGTGCGTATGTACATGCTGTCGTTTGGATTAGAACGACATGTCGTTTACACTATGTTCATGTCTTTTGGAGACATTTTGCTTCTCATGTTTAACGTTTTCCACTTTCCTGACGTTGGTTTCTATTTGAAACGACGTGTCATTTGTCCTTTAAAGTAGTGTTGATCTCATAAACGACGTGTCGTTAGTTTTTTAAATTTGCTTTTTTACCACTAAGATGACACGTCCTTTGTAGTTCAACAACTGTCGTCTTTCATTTATAAATTAGTCCTTTATTGTTCTGGCTTTTTTTTTTTGGTCAACTTTTACTTCTATTGGTCATATTGAACAATTATTAGATATGTTGCTTCGTAGTGAAAAAAAGAAAAATGAGTAAGATATCAAGGAGTAAATCTTTAAACCATTGTTTTGATGATAAAAATAAATTATATTAAACATGAAGCTTACGGTGCGTCTGGAACTAATTTTAAAATAATTTTATTTTTTATATGAAAATGAAAATGAAAACGTTTTCAATCTCAAACATAAATCATTTTTAAAAATGTGTTTGGTAGTTTTATTAAGAGATTATTTTCAGTGTAAATAAAATCATTAATGTCTCTCTTTCTCTCTTTCTGCTCAATAGAAGAGAAAACGAAAACAAAAAATGAAAAACGACTAAAACTCGTTTTATATTTTTCTTTCATTTTACACTAAACTAAAAAATCATTTTCATTTCCGTTTTTTGTATTTATTGCGCCAAACGCCGTTTTAAAACGTTTTCATTTTTTTCTTCAAAACAAAAACATGATAAATTCTAAACACAGCCTTAGTTTTTATCAAAGATTTTTTTTTTTTTTTTTTGGAGATATTCAACAAAGAATTTATAGAAACTCAAGATCAATGAAATAGTGATACACAACATTAACAAAAGAAAGAGAAGTGGGAAAGCTAGAAATCTCTATAATCCTGATTTTCTTTACTCAAATTCTCAGCGGGTCAATTAATAATGTATTGGTGTAATTAATGGCTCTATTACTATATTAGACCATTTCGGCATTTCCTACTCAGGTGTTATATATTCAAAATGGTGAGTCACCACTGCCTTAATCCAAAGCCCTAATTGTCAATTGACAGGTAAGGAAATGAATAGCGTAATCAAAGGAATGATCCTCATCAACCCCACATGATACGTGAGAAATTCTCAATACAAAAGTCAAAAATCATCAAGTCATCTACAAAAAGACAACAGTAAGTTTCTCTTTATGAATGAACAAAACATTTTGTGACCAAAGAGACAAAGCCCAAAGAGTCTGCCAAATGGAAATATACACCATATTAGTTGGTTTATATTCGGTCTTCATTTTGTATTTTTCTTAAGGTCGGCAATTTCATACACGATACAATGAAACGATACGACACGAGATAAATGAGTTTAGATCGCACGATTATTAATTAGGTCATTAACGGGCTGACATGAATAACACGAAAATAAATAGATTGGATTCATGGCAGCCCGTTTAACACGCTTAACCCGTTTAGTTATACGAGCCGTTATCAGGCCGACACGGCCGGCCCAGCCCGACCCGATTAAGCATATATATATATATATTTATTTATATATAGACAAAACCCTACTTCTGACTCAGTCTCTGAAAACTAATTTTGATTTTTAGAGCGTAGTTGGGTATTCAACCTCAAGGCTTAAAGAAGACATTTTCTTATATTTATTTTATATTTTATGCACTTAAACATTCAAATGTTTGGTTATGTTTTCAAACTTATTTAAATGTACTTGGTTATGTTTTCAAACTTCTTTTGATGCTTGGTAATTGGTATGTTTTGAAACATATATACTTGATAATCTAGTAGTATCATGATTTTATATTAACTAGTCAATTAATATAGTTTTGAATACAATATAAAATTCTACTATTTTTGCTAGTTGGGTCATAAATGTGTTTTTTTTTTTTTTGTTGGTCCATCACGACACGTTTAGTAATCGTGTTTGTGTGTCGTGTCGTGTTAACCGTGTTATTAGCGTTTCGTGTTCGTGTTTGAGTTTCTGACACGTTTATTAATCGTGTTGTGTTTGCGTTCACTATAACCGTGTTGTGCCGTAATCGTACTAACCTGAACACGATACGCAAACACGAATTGTCAGCCCTAATATTTCTTGCCTAGAAAAAAAAATGCCCAATGCATTTTCTATTGACACATGCTAGCTAAATTTGCTCGTCAAGTGCCATGTTTTGTTTTAATTGATTGCAAAAATTTCGAAGCTTTTTTAGTTAAACAAAAAATAATGGGTTGCAACAAAATTATAGGATTCCCTCTCTTCAACAAATAGTTTAATATATAATTGCCATAAGATAAAATTATCCTAAGATTACTAGAATACTACAACAATAGCTTAGCCTTCTTTCTAAATGTTTATTTTGATAGTTTCCCTTAAATAATTGTATACGATAGAATTAAAAAGATAATTTGGTCCCACAACAGCTTAGCCTTCTTTTTTATTCTTTATTTTATTAGTTTCCGTCATTATTTTATTGGGTTATTATGAGTGGATGCTAATTATTAGAAACTGAGAGAATCACGAACTTATTCTTTAAAATGTATGAATTTTAATTTTTAACCCTTATTTTTATTTAATACTCTTTTAATTAATGGACTTATTTAACTAAAATGATATTAATAAAGAATAAAGAGTAAAAAATTAAATTTATACATTTTAATTAAGTATTTGTCTCATTTCTTTAAAAAAAAAAAAACAAAGAGAAAAGAGTGGTTGAAGTGAAAAAAAAAAAAAAAAAATCTAGCTCAACAAGCATGATTAACCTGAGTACATCCCATAAAAGTCATTATTTATTTATCTATTTCAACACTCTACCTAGAAGCTGCTTAGTATTGTTTTGTTATTTATTTAATTCTCAACTTTATAGGTTGGTTGCTATCTATTAATTTCATTTTTTTGGAATAAATACATATTTTGTTGGTTGCCGTTCGTTTAATTCGCTGATTCGAGTTGAGATGTGACTTTATGTGAGAGTTTTTTAATATATTAAAAAAATTAAATGTGACTATTTATAAGAGTTTTTTATTATAAAAAAATTTAAATTTTAAATTTAAATTAGTGAAAAAAACGGGGTGTTATTTTTTTCATGAGTTGTTGAATGGAATAACCATTTTTTGTTGTTCATCAGTTGGACAAAAAATAATCTTCCAACCGTTTCTGTTTCTATGAAGGACAAAGCCTGACATTAAACTTGAAAGTAGTGAGTAGTACCTATCTATCTGACACTGGCCTCAACCCTGGGAACAATAAAGTACCTCCTTGTCAGTATCAATATCATCCTACCTAAATACTTTTTTCTTTCCTTCACTTTTTCTTTTTTATTTTATTGATAATTAATATATTACTGAGTCAAGTTTGTATATGTTAAATTTATATAAAAACACGTAAAAATTAAAAAATATACATATTTAATAGTTAGAAAAATTTAATCTATTAATATATCGGTATATTAAAGAATCTATTTTTTTAAATAAAACTTTGTAAACAGATGGAGATTTTTACAGTAGGTCTTTAAAAAGTAAAATGCTAATAATTTTATGTTTTTACTTATCAAATGTTGATAAAAAATGTTTATTACGCATATTTTTTTGATTTGATACGAATATGATAAGATCAAATGATGAAAAAATACACTACTAATGGAGGTCCTATTATAAAAGGATCTTAATTAGATTAGGAAAAATATTTTATTCTGATATAGTGTGAATTGAATTGAATTTAAGTTGGGAAACATATTATTAGGATATAGAAAACTCATATATTATTATTTGGCCGTTGATTTTGGATTGTGGATTACCTACCTATTCCACACGGATCTCTGGTCCAACTGAAAAAAAAAAAAAAAAACAACCTGGACTTGGTAAAATGAACCAGTCAATGTAAAATTCATATCATGAAGCAAATTCTTCACTGACTAAGTTCATAAGATGTACGAGCCAATGGATTTGACTTGGTCTATGTGTTTGTTATCTTCTTAATTATGATTTGAACATAAAAAAGGAAAGCTTATCCCATTTTCAAGTATTGAACAGATCATTGCAGATTTTAGATCTTGAGTACCAAATTAAATTGATGGGCTGCAATGCTTAATCTAAAGAAGAAAAAGTATGTCATTAATGTCCAATAAAGTATTGTGCAACTTTTTCTTTATTTGTTTGAAATGAATGTAGTGTGTGTTTGTGACCCATTACCAAACCAATATTAATAGGAAAAAAAAATTAAAAAAAAAAAGGTTAAATGGTTGGTGACAGAGACGACCTATTCTCTTATCTGTATACCAATTTTCTGCTAAATTTTGATTAATTAATCATTATTGCATGCTTCTTTCACTTTACACTTTCATAAAACTCCCTACAAATTCACCAACCAACAACCCAACTTCCCTTATATTCAATCAATCCTCTCTCTCTCTCTCTCTCTAACCAAAAAGCAACATCACATACAAATTTTGCCTCTCTATCTATATGGAATTCAGTGTCTTTCTATCTTTATTAACTCTAATCTAATCTTAATAATCCACTACAAAACATCATGGTTCTTCCTTAAAAGTCAAGCAAGAATCTCTCTCTCTACACCTTTTCTCTTTCACACAACCAAGAACATGAAATGAGGAGAGAGAGTAAACTAGACCCCACCAACATACCAAAATTTGAACCTTTTTTTTTTCCCTGATAATTTGATAATTAAAATTTGAACCTTTATTTTGCTTTTTTCACACTAAGAAACGGGAAAAAAAAATGGCTCAGATTCTGAGAGACAGAGTCTTTGGGAGCTTTCGCAGACACCAAAGCCATCAAAGTGAAACCGAAACTGAAACTGCCATGGCAATTCGCCAAGTTGAGGACTTGCCCTCGCCGTTCGCCGACCTAAGTTCGAGCCTCTCCGACTCCGACCTCCGAGAGACGGCCTATGAGATCTTAGTCGCGGCGTGCCGGAGCTCCGGCGGGAAGCCGCTGACTTACATCCCCCAGTCGGAGAAGACCGACCGGCCGGCGGCGGCGGCGGCTGTGGCGGCGTTGCCGTCACTTCAGAGATCGGTGACTTCGACGGCGGCGAGCCGTGTGAAGAAGGCGCTAGGGCTGAAGTCGTTGTCGTCGAGTTCGCGGAGGAGAGCGGTCGGCGACTCGGCGGCGAGGGCGGCGAAGCGGTCGGTGACGTTGGGGGAGATGATGAGGGTTCAGATGAGGGTTTCGGAGCAGACGGATTCGAGGATTCGAAGGGCGCTGTTGAGAGTCGCTGCTGGTCAGGTTTGTGAATTGCGAATTTAAATTGAATCCAACTGAACTGAATTTTGGGAATTCTGAGATTGAATGTGAGAAAGTAGACATTGAATTCTGGAATTATTTTGTGTGGAATCTTCTGTTCTTACTTGTTTTGGAGTTTAGTGCTGAAGAATCAAAGTTCGACTTTGATTTTAAATTATAGAAAAATAGTCCAAGAGTCCAAGACAAGTTTTTTACTTCAACTAAAATCTAAAAGTTTCTGTTTTTGCCTTAAGCAAGAGAAGGTTGTTTAATCTTGGCAAATGCTGATCATTTTCCTTTTTCTATTCTTACTTGGTTTGAAGTTCAGAGATGAAGAATCAAAAGTTGATCGTACTCTTAAATTTTAGCAGAATATTCTGTAGTTTTACTTTAATTATTTTTAGTTTAGAATACAGAATGATCGGTTTTGCTTGTGGGTCTTAAAAATGTGGATTTTTTTTCCCTCTGCTAGAAATTCAAATCGAGCTTTATGAACAAATGGTTTATTCATTATTGTCTTGTTATTTTTAACTCAGTGAACCAAATTGCTGGTTTTTTTTATTTTTATTTTTAATTTATTAGCTTGGAAGACGCATGGAGACAATGGTTCTGCCATTGGAGTTGCTACAACAGTTTAAGTCTTCAGATTTTCCGAATCAACAAGAATATGAAGCTTGGCAGAGGAGAAATTTGAAGGTTTTAGAAGCAGGATTGCTTCTACATCCTTACCTGGCACTTAATAAGACAGACAGTGCCCCTAAACGACTCCGGATGATCATTCAAGAGGCCTTAGAGAAACCCATTGAGACCGGAAAGAACAGCGAGTCGATGCAAGCTCTCCGCAGTGTTGTTATGTCTCTTGCTTGCAGATCATTTGATGGTTCGGGTTCTGATACATGCCACTGGGCAGATGGGTGCCCGTTGAACCTCAAGCTGTACCAAATGCTCCTGGAATCATGTTTTGATGTGAATGACGAAACATGTGTGATTGAAGAGGTTGATGAGGTTTTAGAACTATTAAAGAAGACCTGGGTAATCCTTGGAATAAACCAAATGCTGCATAATCTTTGTTTCTCATGGGTTTTATTTCACCGTTATGTTATAACTGGCCAAATAGAGAATGACCTGCTGTTTGCATCCAGTAATCTACTGGCAGAAGTTGAAAATGATGCCAAGGCAACAACCGATTCTGTTTACTCTAAGATCTTGAGTTCTACACAGAGTTCAATATTGGGTTGGACTGAGAAAAGACTCCTTTCTTATCGAGATATTTTTCATACCGGCAATATTGAATCAATGCAAAGCATTGTCTCCCTGGGGGTTTTATCGGCAAAGATATTGGTACAAGATATTTCTCACGACTATCACAGGAAGAGAAGAGAATTTGATGTGGCTCGTGACAGGGTTGACACTTATATAAGATCCTCACTGCGGAATGCTTTTGCTCAGGCAAGTTTCATCATTTGTATCTAATTCCCCAAAATATGATTACACATTACATTCCTCATATAATTTATATTATTTATGGCTAAATCTGTTGTCAAACTAGTTTTCGGCTGTATTTTAATCAAAGAGGTTGCATATGATATTTAGGAACTGCTATCATTGCTTTTACATCGGTTTCTTGCGGTGAAAAGCAGGATGCCAAATTTAACTATATCAAATTTAGTAATTTACCTTTCGTTTTCGGTTTAGTTTAATTGCACCCCATAGCTGGCTTCGTTTTTTGGATGTGAAGTATATTGCTGATTGATCAAGGTCCTGTGTGATATTTCTTGCATCAGAGACTTGAAAAAGTGAAATCCAGAAAGCGTTCATCTAAGAACCAAAAAAACCATCTTCCTCTCCTTTCCATCCTTGCACAAGACATTAGTGAACTTGCTTTTAGTGAGAAGGCTATATACAGCCCAGTTTTGAAGAGATGGCACCCTCTTGCAGCAGGTGTTGCTGTGGCTACCCTTCATTCTTGCTATGGGAATGAGCTGAAACAGTTTGTCACGGGTATTAGTGAGCTGACGCCTGATGCTATACAAGTGCTGAGAGCGGCTGACAAATTGGAGAAAGATCTTGTGCAGATTGCTGTTGGAGATGCAGTGGATAGTGATGATGGTGGGAAATCCATCATTAGGGAGATGCCTCCTTATGAGGCTGAAGCTGCAATTGGCAATCTGGTGAAGGCTTGGATAAAAACAAGAGTGGACAGACTGAAGGAATGGGTTGACAGGAATCTACAACAAGAGGTATATAGTGCTTATTTTTGTCCACTGTCTAGTTGAAATTTAATTAAATGAATCTGTAGTATCCAACTCAATTAAAGTTCAAACTCCTGTTGCGGCTGGCCTTATGCCTACTAAACATGGGACAACTTGGTAAATGAAAAGTTAGGATGCTGTCACGTGCAAAATTTATAAAAATGCGAACTTCCTTTTCTTTCTGTCCTTTTTCCCCTCTTGAAGAACATAGTTATCAAGTGTTTAACACTCATAAACACCAAAAGACTACAAAATATCTAGTTCCATTTCACACATAAATATCATATTTTTTGAACCAAGCAAATCCGTCATTTTCCTTTATTGCTTGTTTTTGAAGTGTTGGGAAAGTTTGAGGTGGTGGTATTTTGCTACTCTAAGATTGATATTTTTTGTCTCACAATAATAAAATGTAGGGATGTAGCCAATAACTTCTGCATAGTAATTCTGTAAAGAGGAACTTAAGTCGTAAATGCATAACTTCTGAATAGTAATTCTGTTAAAAAAAAACTCAAATGTATTCCTTTGCTAGTTATCCATGACTAATCCTGTAAATATCTTCAGGTATGGAATCCACGAGCAAATAAAGAGCACTTTGCTCCGTCTGCAATTGAAGTTCTACGCATTATTGATGATACTTTAGAAGCATTCTTTTTGTTGCCAATACCCATGCATTCAATCTTGCTTCCTGAATTGATGACTGCTCTTGACAGATGTCTCCAATACTATGCATCGAAGGCCAAGTCTGGATGTGGTACGTTAGTTGCAGAAAACTGATGCATTAACTTCCTAGATTAGCAACTTCATATTGATCATCATTTCTCTTTTCCCATCTGCAGGGTCCCGAGGTACATTTGTTCCGACTCTGCCTTCTTTGACAAGATGTTCAACAGGATCAAGATTTCATGGTGTATTCCGGAAGAAGGACAAGACAAATTTAACACATAGGCGATCCCAAGTTGGCACTACAAATGGGGATAACTCCTTTGGGATACCCCAACTTTGCGTTCGCATCAATACCTTGCAGCTTATTCGAATGGAATTGGGAGTTTTTGGGAAGAGGATAGTTGCCCATCTTGGTAATTTAGAATCTAATGGTGTAGATGACATTGCAAATCGGATGGGAAAAATGTTTGAGCTTTCAGAATCTGCTTGTGTGGAAGGAATCCAACAACTTTGTGAAGCAACAGCATACAAGGTAGTCTTCCATGAGCTAAGTCATGTTCTCTGGGATGGTTTGTACATCGGCGATGTTTCGTCTTCCAGGATTGAGCAGTTCCTTCAGGAGCTTGAGCAATATTTGGAGATTATTTCATCAACGGTGCATGATAGGGTCAGAACACGTGCTATTACTGATATAATGAAAGCTTCCTTAGATGGTTTCCTGTTGGTTTTACTTGCTGGTGGTCCGTCTCGTGGTTTCACGCTGCAAGATTCTGGCATAATAGAAGAGGACTTCAAGTTTCTTACAGATCTGTTCTGGTCCAACGGAGATGGATTGCCATCTGAGTTGATACAAAAATTTTCGAAAGTAGTGAAAAATGTTCTTCCCCTGTATCATACAGATACCGAAAGCCTAATTGAACAGTTCAAACGTGCTACTTTGGAGAACTTTGGCTCTTCTGCTAAATCCAGGCTTCCTTTGCCTCCAACTTCAGGACAGTGGAATCCAACTGAACCAAACACGCTTCTCCGAGTTTTGTGTTATCGGAACGATGAGGCTGCTGCAAAGTTTCTTAAGAAGACTTACAACTTGCCCAAGAAACTATAACTTGGATCTTGAAAAGAGAGAGGGGGAGGATGCAGTTCATAGCTTCGATCAGGTTCCACGTCTCATTTACAGCTTTAACATATTTATTATCTAATAATGAATCTACCCTAGAAAAATGAGTTTCAAAAATACAAGTCTTTTGGAGGCTGTTTATAGCAAAGCTGCCCAAGTTAGAGGATAATCTCATGCTTGGGGATACTTTTGGAATTTCATTAATCTCAGGGAAGGAGGCATCAAGTATTGGTTGAAATTCTTTCCCCTTTGTGTACATTCTTTTTCCTCACACGGTAAAGCGTAAACTGACAAACTGAACGATACGGAGAGAGAAGTTTGTTTAATTGCTTGGTAAGTTGAGAGGAACTGTTTTGATTGATTTTAAACTTGTTTTCCACAGTGCTGTTGAAGGATTGAGCATTCTTACAGGATTAGTTGTATATTAAATATTTTGATATGTAATTTATTGCTCTAATTTTTTTTTCTCTCTTTATAATACCATATGCATCAGTTGATGCCTTTATATACTTTTGAATTATAGAATCACAATCGAAGTTTGACAACTTAACGATCACCTGCTATTGTGTCTTTTATGCTATGTTTCGTCAGTGGGATGAAAAATTGAAAGGGGAAGCAAAATAATAAGATGACAATACGGCTATAAAGTGAAGAAAATTATTTCACAATTTGGCAGAAGAGAGAAAATATCTAAACTAATTTTGGTTATTTTGTTGTTTATGTGTTGCGTTCGTTTTTTTTTCTTCTCTCTCTTTTGTTGTTAAGACTTATGTTATTGTTTTAATTTAATTTTAATGTTTTCTTTTTCGTTAATTTTATTTTTTTAATGCTGAACCATTTCGTTAATATGTTTTGGTTTTTTTTTTTTTTTTTTTTTTTTTTTTTTTTTTTTTTTTTTCAATATTTCTCTATATATAACGAGAAAAGGAGAGACTTGGGACTTTCTGGGAAGGAGAAGTGCGGATTCTTTAATTGTTTGGCTTGATGATCATAAGTTTGAATCTTTGATTATTTGGGGAAAAAATTTAGATAATTTCTTGGCATATTGGATTTGCCTCCTTCTCATGGGTTTTATAATTTGAGAAAATTGGTGAACTCACACTTTTAATATATTGTTATAAAATTTTTACCATTTACTCTTAATTAATATTATTTTAACTAATATAGTTATTTCATTAAAAGGTATTAATTAAGTGTAAGAGATACAAATTTAAGATCCGTACATTTTAAAAAGTGTTTGTCTCTTTTTCATTTTTAATTTTCCTTTATTTTTATAATTACCAACATTAAAGCCTATTTTGTTCCTTAATGAGCTCACTTGCCAGCAGCTATTGATCTCAATCCAATGGTTATTGTATCTCAATCCAATGGTTATTGTAAGTTGTAACTCACCCTACGTTGGAGCAAAAGTACTTCTCTTACTATAGACTTTCTCTAATTTTAAAATGAGCCTTTTCAAAAATTAAAAGATATTTTTCTAGTTCTTATATAAAGGAGAAGACGATGTGTGATCAATCTTCTCTTGTTCTGTCTAATATTTTTTGGGGAGAATATAATAAAAAACATATTTATAAAATTAAATTAAATAAACAGTATATTTTAAACGGAAATAGTAGAAAATATGTCAATATGAAAAGCTTAAAAAAGTATATAGGCTAAATTTTAATTATAGAAATTAATAGGTTATAATTTGTCAAGTTATGGTTCATAACTAGATAAGTTATGAACAAACTTGTCAAGTTATGGTTTATAGTCAGACAAGTTATAGACAATAATTTGTTAAGTTATGGTCAAGTTATAGATAAAAACAGTAATTTAGCATATTTCTTAACTTATGTAAATTATTGACCTACTAATTTTAATTCATCTCAAATCTTAGTCTATTTCTCTCTTTCTCCCTATTTTAAAACTCTTTGAACCAAACGGTTGATTTTCACAAATTCACTAAACTGAATTCATAACAAATATAGAAAAATAACAGCAAAAAATTTATAAAAAAAAAAAAACCATAGAAAAAACCTCAGAAATCACAAAAATGTACAAAACAACATAACACCACGTCACCACCATAGAAAAAATGATGTCTCGCCGTGGACCACCAGATTTGTGGCGGAGTCATGCGAAGAAGAAGCACGATCAGGTAGCAGAGTCGTCACCGTCTGTTGAGGAGATTTTCGTCACGGTGGAGGGCAACCGTGGAGGAGACATCTCCCGACGTGGAGGAGACGAAGAGATGCCAAAGTTATCGAGAAGCAATGCCAGGGAGGAGATCTCCCCCAAATCTTTGACAATCTCCCGAGGATCTCTGACGCTGTGTTACTACAGCACTGGTTCGGCAAGGTAGGGGAAACGCTGGTGGTAAAGAGTTGGCGGCGGGCAGGGTTAGTGCAGCGGCTGGAGAAGAGAGAGGGAGAGAGAAAGAAAGAGAAGGTGGGCGGAGAGAGAGATAGAGAAGGGTGGCAGGAGAAAGAGAGAGATGTAACGTGGGAAGCGAGAGAAGAGTGAGGGAGGAAGGAAAAAAAAAAGAAGCTAAATCCTAATCAGATTTGAGGGTCGTTAGTCCTCTTAGGTATTTCATCAATTTGAGTTTAAAATTCGAGTCACACTTAATTTTTTTTTAATAAAAAACTCTCATATAAAGTCATATCTCAATTCGAATCAACAAACTAAACGGACATTTAATCTCATATTTGTTCTACCACGTGGCAAAAAAACTGCGGCCTTATTCATTTCACCGATTCGAGTTTTCAATTTTAGGTTTCTACAATAAAAAGTTCTCATAAAATATCACATCTAACTTTTTCTACTACAGTAAAAAACTCTTAGAAAATATTACATCTCAACTCGAATTAAAAACTCGAATCTGTGAAGTGAACGATGCCTAAATATTTATGCAGGCCTGATATAACTCAATTGACACTTAAAAATCATGACACAAGAGATTAAAAAGGTTTTTTCTACGAGATAAGACCTCTTAAAAAAATCATCAATAACACCTTAATTTAACTGTTTTAACGGTTAAATTTGTAAAGAGAATAGTATTGTGTAACATATTATAGATTTTTAATAAATCTACACAAATCTAACCGTTAAAATCTTAATTTAACTGTCAAAACATTATATTTTATTGATAAATTTTTTTAAGAAGTCTCACCGTAAAAAAGCTCGAGATTAAAAAATAGTGAGGCCCACAAATTTATTTCTCTTTTACAATCTCTTGATGAACACGACAAGACAAAATCACAGGACTGCACATTGTTAGTAGTGGTCATATCGTTGGTGACATCCCTCAAAAAGAAAAAAAAACATCATTGTTAATGAATGTAATGTAAACGTAATCAGTCCAAAATTGATTAGTTCTTTATTTTCTTTCTACCTAACAATGAGTCAAAAAAAAAAAAAGAAAAGAAAAGAAAAAACAAAAACAAAAACAGATTACATTGTAGAAAGGAGATCGAGCCTGCAAAATCATTTGTCTATAATGAACATCTCTATAAGAAACAACTCACTACTACGCCTTCCACAATCACACTCCCTAAAGGCTCTACTTTATAAGTATGAATTACAGGTAACTGAATTTGAGAAATTCGTCTATTAAGAAGAAGAATTGGTTTTCAGTGCCAAGGATTCTTCTTTCCCGACCGGCTTCTTTTTGTAGTTGTCCCAGATGATTTCTGCCATGACAAAGAGAAGGCAGTTGTATCAACCTTTGGCCAAAACTCAAGCATAGAATTCAGAGAATATATTCGGGAAGAAGTACACCAAGTATACATACCGATTTAGATTTCTTGGTCTTTCCTCGAATTCTATTCTTCGGAGGCTTCAGTTTGTAGATCCGTACCATCCAATGGTGAGTTGTGAAAACCTGAATTGATTCAAAAGCCATAATATTATCAGAAGCATTGGAGGTACTTTAGTATAAAGAGAAAATTCACTCTAAAGAAATATTTACAGAAATGTTTTCTCAAGGTTGGATACTTGGATTGGTGAAGGTAAACATCATTATTTAGCAACAGACGTTGTGAAGATATGGGAACTGATACAGCCCCATTGAATTGAATTCAGATAGTTTGCTTGTCTGAGAAGGCATATAGAGACTAAAACGGGGCATAAATGATAGACCAACTATATGAACAATTACTTGACTTTCATCGCCTTAACCCAGAGTCAGAGGTAGAAAAAAAAAAAAAAAAACCATGTATTCCATGCTTTGCACTTTTTAGGTTTTACTAATATTGAAAAGATCGATTCATCTCACCTCTTCAAAATGGGTAAGTTTGAAATGTTTCTTTCCAATTTCTGTCCGCCTCACTCTATCAAAGGCTTTACCATCCGTCTCCACAAACCTGATAGTTACAACAAAAAAGATTCAATTCATTAACAGACCTGCATAAGACAAAAAGGAAGAAAGAAAGATCATGAAAGGTCGACAACTTCACAGCAAACACAAACCTGTAATACGAGAGTTTGTACATGAGGCAATTTAGCATGGTCGGAGTGGCCTCAGAATCAATCCGATACTGACCGTCTTTCTTTTAGACAGAAAGACAGAATTTTGAATTTTAGTTGAGATTCATCACCAACATTACCATATCAACCAAATTAAAATGCCAAGTTCAATATCATTCCTTGTTGACTAAAAAGCAGTTCTAATTGAACCAGGAAATAACCAACAACTTACTAGATAATCAGGTTCCTTTATGTGAGGGAAGACACCCCCACCAATGCGAACCATCCACAGGAACTTATTGATATCATCACTGGGGTAGCCAACAAGACCTAAAAAGTAAGCAATAAATCAGGACAAAGTTCTAGATATTGTAGTAGGAAAATCTCACGAGAAGAGTAAGGAAGCCAACCTCCAAAAACGACAAGAACATATTTTACATCCAGGGAGTTGAAGATTTCCCAAGCTGCCTTTTCAGGAGAAGACATGGCAGTACCGACAGTAGCAATATGTGTGTTGTTCCAGGTGTTGTTGTCAACAATGACAGTGCGGTTAGCCATTGCTGTGGTTTGGTACCCATAATCCCACCAAGATGCAACCTGCAAAACAAGTTTTCAGTAAGATTAACACACACACACACACACACACACAACAGAGTTTCAACTAGTAGCCCGATGAGAGAAATGATAAATTTGTCCAATACATGACATGAAATAAAATTACTAATTGCATGGGAACATAAAAACCAGCTGCATAATTACTTTAATTCAAATCACAAACATTATTATTATAATGATGTAGTGGCATGAAATCCTTACTTAGAAACAGTCTGACAATAGAACTTTGCAGTAGGAGATAATAACTGCAATGAAAAGGGAAGATAAACAACTAAACTCAGTAAGAGGCAAGTTTCTTACTTTATCATCCACCTCGGTGTTGTGGCTCAGCCATGCATATGCTTCTCTGAAATCATCGAAAACATGAAGACCATCGTGGGAATGAGATGTAAGAACAATAGATGGGGCTGAATAAGCTTCTGCTGCTGCCCAGACACAATGAACCTGAAAAGAATGATTTAACCTAAACTCAGAGACCATACCAGAAACAAAAATTCGTCAAAAACAGAGAAGAGGGGAAAAGAGGTCTCATAGAGGTTCAAGTAAAGATTTCTGAGAAAAGTTTTGGGATATGTTATCAAAATCATTGTTTCCTTTTTGCCAACTTGGTCACATTGCAAAACCCAATCATCCACTATTAAAGAAACTAACAACCATTTTAAGAAAGTCATTTTGAGCAAAGCACATACAGAATATTCATAAGCTACAACTTGATGAAGGCATGTGACTGAATCATTAAAATAGAGTTACTGGAAAGTTACATACCACATAGAAGGCACCGAGCAAAACAAGCAAGAAAATCGATATTATAGACGCCTCCAAAGGTAAAACCAGAAGCTTCTTCTCAATCTTTGATCTAACGGATGGCTTTTCCACAGCTACAGGTTCTTTTTCCTTCTTCCTGTTCTTTCTTGATGGCCGCTCCTTTAATGTATCTTCAGTTTTATCAGTCTTTGCCACATCATTCTGCGGTAGGCTATTTTCAGAACTCTTCACCCCCACCTTAACAGACAAGACAAAATATAGACCTGAAGTTAATATCTATGATGTTGGAAAAAATTTAGACAAGCAGCATAAAGAAAATATGTTTACATCAACTTGGGAGTGTACTGATGATCCAGGTAACTGAAACTTTATTGACCGTGTGAAAACTTCAAAAGCTTCAGAGAGAGCAATCCCAGACATTATGCAAGCTGCTGGGGCAAGTACCAGCATAAGGCGAACCTAATGGAATTAATTTATGCAAATAAATTATCATAAAGATTAAGAAAAGAGAATAAAAGAAAGTGCAATTGGACATAGTTCTCACCATGACTCCAGAAAAATAAACTGACGTCACAATATAAAGAACCACAAAAGAGCTAGCATCAGACAGCGGCGAAAAACAAGCCTGCCAACAAATATAGGCAATCACAAGACAAATTATACGCATAAAGTTATAGGTAAAAGAAAACAATTTTCTGTTGAAAATGGAACTTACAATTATCCCAGCAGGAACCAAGAATGCTAAAACATTAATGTCCATGAAGTAAGAAGGCCAAGTTGGGGGCTGATGCTCACTAACACTAGCAATAATTGGTATGTACTTGCTTGCATATGTTCTGAAGAAACAGAAAACAACAATGATTACAAACTAAAAGTAACTAGGCAACTGATTTCTATTTTTCTAATAAGTGAAAGCTGGAAAGTATAACCATAGCGCAACACCGCAAACAATATTAGATCATGCCTCAGGCATCTAAAGCACAATACAAAATAATTTCAGAAAAGCTATAGAATGAAAAAGAGATTAAACTAATTTTTCCTATCTCAAAATAGAAACAGGAGCGAAGAATGAGAGGGGAATGGAGTCAACTCAATAACCAAATTGGGCCAAATTCAGATACAACATCAACCGAGATACCAGACAGCAGCAGACAAAATTGTCGCTGATACTTCCGGTTGACCTCCATGTTTTAGAGAGTCAAGGAAATTAAGATTAGTGAAGAAGAGAGAGATGTAAGAATTATGAACTCTTACGGATCAAGCAGACTAAGACTTCTTCCACTCCATCCCATTGTTGGGCTTGAAGCTACCAGAGCTATCAGTACTGCTATTACAGCACAACACACTATCCTGAAATATAGCAGACAAGGTATCAAGATACATTCAATGTTCTGAAGCAACCGAACTTAAAAAATAAAAAATAAAAAAATAAAAGTTACACAGTAACCTTAATGCTTTAGAGAAAGAGAATGAGGCTTACGCGCCAAGAGATAGAATGAGTGTGACAGCTACTTTGAACATTTTCTCAGACAGAACCCCTTTAATATAATAGACAAGAGCCACCACATGGATGATAATGAAAACCTGCAGAAGGAAGAAATCAACAACAAAACATGTGGGACCATCATATGGATGCATATCTTATCAAAGTCACATTTCTTAGGGGTGGGTTGGGGGGAGGGGGAGGGGGTGGGGGCAATCCAAAGCTTTGCTGGCTTCCTCCTTTATTTTTATTCCAGAGTCCAACAAAGAAAAAAAAAAAGGATCCTCAATGTTGCTAGACTTTAAATTGAATTTTCATTGGCTTTCAAAGTACCAATGAAAGTGGCATGGCCGATAACATGTAGGGGCAATAACAGATACTGAATGCAAGGAACAGCTCCTAAACCAAAGAAGAACAATACGACAAATCTTATTGCAGAAAAGCTTACCAAAAAAGAGGCAAAATGTTCAGATGTCATTACTGCATTAAATCCAACTACAGGTACCAATGAAGCTAATAACGTTCCCAAGACAACCTGCATTAAAAAGCCATAACTTCAGTGGCAAACATGGCACATGGCATCATAAATGAAGAACAAGCAGATTCTATTGTCAAAATCTCCAACAAGATACGAGACTTAAGATAGTGGAATTTGAAAGGTGCGCTGAGTAAGTAGCACTAGAAGTGTTGCTTTTTCAACCTATAGCCTAATATTGTGCAAAACATATGCTAAATAATAAGGTTGATATGGACTTCATAAAATATATTTCAGAATGTGTCCAGATCGCAGTTGCAACTGCGAAAGCAAACCTTTGAATGGATCCCAGTCATCCAACCAAGAACAAGAAAAGAAAAGAAACTACTAGAATTTTTCTTCTCTTTTTTTCTTTCTTTTTGTTTTTTTAGCAGAACACATTAGCATAGCATGGCTTTTCAATCTTATGTCGTTTTCAATTCTGTAAAGCTTTAAAATTACTGCAGAGACTTACAAGAGGAGCATAAGCAACATATAATCGGGAAGAGTAACGGCCAGTTACAATGCACAGAAGGACATGCATTGGAATAAGATTAATTATAAAGGTGTAACCTCCCCAAGAGCAAACCTGAAAGAATGAAACATACATCAAACTTTTTACTTTTTAATAAGATTATGCAATCAAACATGAATATGACAAGAGACAGATGGGGGTATAAACAATATAACACATCATACATACCATGTAGAAGTATGCTATAGCATTTAGAGTGGCGTAAAATAGAGATCCTGTATTCAGTGTCTGCATATAAAAGAAGTAATCAGAAAGCATAGTTATAAGTGCGAATGAGGTATGAACTGAGGTGGGACACTTTTAATAAGAACCCTCCTCCACCCGTCCCAAACCAAAAAATTAAAAAAAAAATTAAAAAAAGAACGACATATATTTTTGCCCATTACCAACCTTTATATAAAGATAGAAAGTGAAAATTAAAGCAAATATGGCTACAGCTTCATTATCATAGCTTCCAGCCACGGAACGAGAAATGTAGGATGGAACCTGCCCAAAAAAAAAAAAATTGTCATGTGCTTAGCATTTTTTTAAGTGTTGTAAACAATATATAATAGACTTAAGCAAACGATTATACAAGTTCAACAATTTATTTATGTGAAAGAAATGTCATATCAATCCAAATTCCATACCATATGTTATATCATAATGCATGCTGAGAAAAGCAAGACATTCGTGAAGTCTTATTGCCCTTTGGTAACCAGTTCAACTTAGGCACGTGAAATGCATGTTATATATGGTTACAAAAAATCCGAAACACAATACTTCTACTTTTCGTCTTTCATTTTTCACTTTAGTAAGATTGATGCAGAGTAAAGAGGATGTACTAAAAGAAAGAGTCACCGAGTCACAAACTAATGCAGCAAAGGACATGTGAGAAGATTATTGTCGAATGTCCACTGTCTCGAGGGCCAAGCCTTCATAAAATAAAATAAAATAAATGAAAAAAAAATACAGTCTAAAATACCCGCTATGTAATTTACCATGGCCAAAAGAGCTGCAGCAGTTAGGCCAGCACCGGTACCCTTAACTTCCTGACAAGAAAAGGGTGTAACTGGATATCATTAATAAATCAGAGGACCATTTGAATTAAAATAATAATAAGAAGGATACGAGACAAACCTTAGTCAGAAGGTAAGTAGCCCATGACGCAAAAGCAGAGAATATAGGTGCAGTAAATACACAAACAGTTTCAACAGATAGAGGAATGTTTAAGGAATTCAACAACCTGCAGTACAACGATAATGGCTCATACGTATCAATTAACTTCGAGAACTTGTAGAAAAACTTCCTATTCTTTTTCATTCATTTTTTTTTTGTTTTTTTGTTTTTCATTTTATCTTGTGTTGCACAAGACAATAATATCAAACAAAAATGTGCTTAGCACAATAAGAGGGTAAAAAACTGCTCCACTGTTTTCTTATATACCCACCACCAAATAGTTCCTGCTGTCAAGGTCAATCCAGGGTAAACAGTTCCACCAATCACACGCCCAAGCGGATACCTTAAAAGGTGATACCAAAACAATTAGTTCAGGAATCTTAACTTTAGTAACCTCCTAAAAGGAAAGACTGAAATACAATACAACAAGAACACGTAATTAAGTTCATTAAATAGAAAAAATTACCAGGTTCGATCATCAAACCAGTTCCAAAATTCATATATTCCACTTTTTGTCAGAAACTGAAAACAACAAATAAGCAAATAATCGTTTCGTGTAGCTTTACAATTTTGCATCATAATGATATAGCTAATCAAAGGAGAAAGGGAAAAGTAACATTTATAAATGTCAGTAAAAGGCAATGTTTTAAGTAAATTAAGGCAATGCTATAACAAAAACAAAAATAATAATTTCCTTCTCGTAAGAAAGAAAATCACATTAGAGAAAGAAATCAAACCTGAGTGACTCTGTAATTGAAATAAGGATCGAACTCGTGGATTACACTCTCATACTTTATGACCTGTTAACCATTCACCAAGTAAAGTTCAGTTAAAAGAACTCCCAGTTTGCTCAGAAAATTTAAATATCCAACAAAACCATAAATCAAAATATTCAATCTTCGAAGTCACAACACAATGAAAAATACAGAATTTCAAGTCAACCTATTATAGCAAATCATTCCGTTTGGTCAAAATTACATAGGAAACCAAATGTCGAGATATATAGAACTCTTAAATTAAACCTCATTCGTTTTCTTCCATTTTCTCAGCTTTCAAACGGAAAAGAATCGAATTTGACGAGCATTGAACGATTAGATCTATGAAATTGGAGGTAAACTAAGGATCGGAGAGCTTACAGAGAAGAGTCGGATCGAGAACGCGAGAACGCCGATCAAGATGAGGATGAAGAAAGAAAAGACGTTTCCGAAAGCGTTCCTTAAGGTTGTTCCCCTTGAGGTCTCCAGGGCCGCCATTGACGGCGAAAATCGAGCTCGGCGTTTGTCTTCGCCGCTTAGAGAGAGAGAGAGAGAGAGAGAGAGAGAGAGGGAAGGGGTTTTAATGAATAGAGGAAGTAGAAGTCGGAGACTTTGAAAGCATACAAATTGTACGAAAAATACTCAGGTCAAGTAAATGACAATAATGGGTCTCGTATGTAATGTGAAACTAATAGCCGTTTACTTGATTTAAGTTTAGAATTTAAATTTTTTACGGTAAAAAGTTTTCATAAATAATCATATTTAATTTTTTTATTACAGTAAAAAGATCTCACATAAAATTACATCTAAACTCGAATTTTAAACTCAAATCAACGAAATAAATGAGGCCTAAAGTGTCCTCTTAGACCCACGTGGCGACTTGCTATTCTGCTGGTGAATAAGCAATTTGATTGGTTCACTACAACGATGTTTCCCACGTGGCATAATCTGACTGGGTTACTGTCACTGATGTTGTGGTTGTACTGTGCAGTTTTTCATGCCTTACATAAGGCTTGTTTTTTTATTATAATATTTTTTCACATCAAAATTTAAATGTAATTTTTTTATTACAGTATTTTTTCTCATATAAACTTAAGTTTAAAAAAAGAGCATGTCTATACTGTTTTTTTGGGAGGAGTTACTCTAGTCTTTTTAGTATCATTTTCGAGTTACTAATCACATTAGTGGACGTTTAGTTTTCAGATTTATAATTATTATTCAGAATAATTCTCGATTTATGAGTGTTTTTTTATGAGAAAAAATATTATAGTGAACTACGAATTATGACATGAATCTTAATACCAACACCCTTAACTTTTTAACTTTTATTATGTATTTTTCTCATAAAAATTTAAATTTTAATTCAAATTTTCTATTTAAATTTTGCTTTTAGTGTTTCAATTTTAAAAAATATCATTGTTCTTACCGTTTTATCTCACTCCGCACTTTATTTAGAAATTGTTTGAGAAAATAATGCCTTAAATAATTCTCAATGCTAAAATTTTCATTCTTTTATTGCTAATTAGAGTTGTTTAACATATTATCACATTAATTACAAATAAAAGTTTTCTTTTTAATTAGGAGATGACCACTCAAAATTAATAAAAAAATGAAATTAGAATAGGTGGTCCTACCACTATTATTACTTTTTTTTTATCCTTTTGTTTTGTGGTTCTTCTCTAAACTAATTATATATGTTTATTTCATAAGTTCAAACTGTTGTTATAAAATATAAAGTCTTCTCTTCAAATCAATAAAAATAGGTTCTTAATTTTTTTAGTAGTGATGTGAGATTATTTTCTGTAAATATTTTAAAACAAAGTTCATTCCATCTGTCCTTTGCCTAAAAAATAAGTTCTTGAAATTTTAAAGTTTAAACATATTAAAAATTTAATGAGCAAATTGTTAAAACATATAATTTAAAAGATAACTCCCTTATTATGAAATTACAGAATTTATTCTTTTTTATAAAGTATGAGTTTATTTTATTTTATCGGTTTAAATTTAAAATTTAAAATTTATTTTATCGAATCCAGCAAAACTTCCTTTTTCGTGAAATATTAGAAATTAAAATTTTAAAAAATAAAAATTAAAACGATCCAAGGCGGCGCCCAGATACTTTCTTCTATTTTTATCTTCAAGCAGAGCTCCGAAATGGTCTTATATCGCAAGAGCGCTCAAACATAGCGCTTGAGAGCTGAAACCATTCGCTGCACCTCTTCGGGCTGGCTTTCAATTCCCTGCGGCTTTAGTTATATATACATATATATATATATATATATATATATTTTAGAATAACAAATTAAAAAAAACTCAGCTTCTCCGAATCCCTCGATTTACCTCTCAAATCTCAAGTTCAACGGAACCCTAGCGCCACGCCACCCCTCCTGGCCGTCGCTGCCGTCGTTTGTCTTCCGTCGCCGTTCTTTAATGTAAGTTCTTGTTCATGCCTTTAGTTGAAGGCTTTAAGCAAAAACCTTTATTAATTCTGTTTATTGGTTTTTAGGGTTAGGGTTTCTCTATTTTGTGTGCTTGAGCTACGATCCAATTCCAATCTAAAGTTGTGTAAATCCTTGATTTAGCTTTCGGTCGATGGATTTTTCCGTGTTCAGGTTCCAATTCTGGTGGTTTCAGCGTCGTTTCTGTGTCATGTTTTGGCATCTAGGTTTCAGCTTGGCAGATGGCTTTGAGAATTTTGGGTCATTAGGAATAATTTTTATTGTTTTTTTCTTCCAACACTTATTGTTTTTGCCTGATTGATTTTTCTTTTCTTTTTTTTTTTTCTGGAATTTCAGCCCTCAGACGTAGTTTGGACAACAAATTACAATGGCGAGTATAAATGACTTACTTCCGCCACCGAAATCGACCGCCGCTACGCATTATGATCACTCAAATGATCCGTGGTTCAAGCAGCGATTCAGCTCAACTGCGGCAGAACAGTCCTCTGTAGTCAAGCCCAACCCGGTTCCTCCTTACTTGAACCGGGCGGGATTTATTCCTCGCAAGGTTGAGGATTTTGGCGATGGTGGGGCGTTTCCGGAGATTCACATAGCTCAGTACCCACTTGGTATGGGTAGAGATAAATCGTATAAGCTTGGATCGAATATTCTGCCGGTCACAGTTGACGCCCATGGAAACATTGCTTATGACGCCATTGTGAAGCAGAACGAGAACGCCAAGAAGATTGTCTACTCGCAGCATAAGGATCTTATACCCAAGATTTTGAAGAATGATGCAGATGCATACGAGGACGAAGAGGACCTCGAGAAGGAAATCGAAGAAACAACTCAAGAAACAAAAGCGGCACTTGAAAAGATTGTGAATGTGAGATTGAGTGCGGCACAGCCGAAGAATGTGCCCAAACAGTCATCCGACTCGAAGTTTATCAAGTACAAGTCGTCCCAGCAATCTGCCGCCTTCAATTCGGGTGCGAAGGAGAGGATTATTAGGATGGTGGAGATGCCTGTGGACCCGCTCGAACCCCCTAAGTTCAAGCATAAGCGGGTACCAAGGGCTTCAGGCTCACCACCTGTGCCGGTGATGCATTCCCCTCCCCGAGCTGTGACTGTGAAAGACCAACAAGATTGGAAGATTCCTCCATGTATTTCCAACTGGAAGAACCCAAAGGGTTATACTATTCCACTTGACAAACGTCTTGCAGCTGATGGGAGAGGGCTTCAGGATGTTCAGATTAATGATAACTTTGCAAAGCTTTCCGAAGCTCTGTATGTTGCTGAGCAGAAGGCAAGAGAAGCGGTTTCTATGAGGTCCAAGGTTCAGAGGGAGATGCTGATGAAGGAGAAGGAAAAGAAGGAGCGGGAATTGCGTGATTTAGCTCAAAAAGCACGGTCTGAGAGAACTGGTGCAGCACCACCATCATCTGCTGTTCCAATGCCGTCCGAGAAAAGCACGATGGACGCTGCCGACACAAGAGGGGACTATGACCGTCCAAGAGAAAGAGAGAGAGATTATCCAAAGGAGACGAGAGAGGAAAGGGAAGAGCGATTGCAGAGGGAGAAAATCCGTGAAGAGCGACGCCGAGAGAGGGAAAGGGAGAGAAGGTTGGAAAATAAAGATTTGGCTATGGGGAAGAAAAGTAAAATTACAAGGGACAGGGACCGTGATGTTAGTGAAAAAGTTGCTCTTGGAATGGCATCCACCGGAGCTGGAAGGGGAGGAGAGGTCATGTACGACCAGAGGCTCTTCAACCAAGAGAAAGGAATGGACTCCGGTTTTGCCATAGATGACCAGTACAACGTGTATGACAAGGGCTTGTTTACAGCTCAGCCGACACTTTCTACCCTGTATAGGCCTAAGAAGGATGTTGATTCTGAAATGTATGGAGGTGCTGATGAGCAACTGGACAAGATTATGAAGACTGAACGGTTCAAACCTGACAAGGCCTTTGTGGGCACTTCTGAGAGGGCAGCGCCAAGAGATAGACCAGTCGAGTTTGAAAAGGATGCTGAAGAGGCCGACCCATTCGGCTTGGACCAGTTCTTGACAGAGGTGAAGAAAGGTAAAAAAGCCATGGATAAGGTTGGTTCTGGAGGGACTATGAGAGCTACTGCCGGCTCTATGATGCGAGATGGCAGTGAAGGAGGTTCTGGTAGAAGCCGCATTGGGTTTGAGAGGGGTCGTTAAGCGGGTTGCTGCAATGGCTGGGTATGAAAGGTCGTTTTTTCAACTTAATATTTAGTCCTCTGAAAGCCCTAGGCTGGCCAAGGTGCCAAGCATGTATGTGGATAGACAAGGTTTAAATCTTCATCTAGTATCTGGAGGCTAAGTCTTACAACTTTGATATGTTAAGTGAGATTATTATGTTCCTTTTAGAAGTTGCGAAATCAAGTTTTCATTTTCTGCTGCAGCTAGCTGGTCATAGATATCATTTGTTTGAACAATTTATGAGCATATCTGAAAAATATTAGTCTTAAAAGCATTTATCTGGCTTAACCGTTGTGTGATTTAAGCAAAATGACGTTGATGGCATTTGGGTTAACGGACCCGTTCATTTCGCCGATTCGAGTTTAGAATTAAAAAGTTTTTAGAAACAATCACATCTAACTTTTTTGTTACAATAAAAAGCTCTCACATAAAGTCACATCTCAACTTAAATTAAAAATTTGAATTAACGAACTGAATGAGAACATGTTCTCTATTTTTTTGAGAACGTGTTTTCACCCAAAATCAGCCAATTTGCAAATAATGAAAAATGGCGTTCGTACCAACATTAGAAGAATCGGAATACGAGGAAATATTTGTCATAAGAGAATCATATGCTGCTGACAGATTTTCCATTCGATCAGAAAAACTTAGCATCGATTTAGAAATTTGAGTTAAAAAGTAAATTTACTTAAAGAACACACTGTAGTAAAAAAAATTAAATTTAAACTTTTATAAATTTTTGTAAGAGAGTAAAAATTTAAGTTATGATTTGAGCTAGCGAATAAGACATTAACTCTTGCCGAGACGGAGACACTCTTGTCATCACAAATTCAAACCTGGGGGGCCGAAATGTCAGTTCTCAAAAGGCTAGATATAAAAACAACCCTTAAGATCATTTACATTTGTAGATCAATTCATCTTGTAAAATCAAATAATCAACATATTTGAGAGTGAGTTATTTGTAGATCAATGATTCAATATGGTTAATGCATATGCCGAGTGTAATTCCACCCAATGTTGAGGCTCACAGTTCAAATCTGTCAATCGTGAGTTCAAAATACATATGAGATGGATTAATGCATGCGCCTCACAACATTACTGAACTCGCATCCAGAAACATTCCCATTACAAACTCGTTCCACCGTATCCGCGTGATTTAGCGCTGACAGATGCAAAACAAAAGAGTTTTATTAAAAATTAAAATCTTTTTATTTCAAATCTAAAACACTCTGCTAAAAGAGAATCGGGATGTTTATTTAGAGTATTCAAACCATGATTTGAATTATACTTCATTATTTATTATAATATTTTCTCTCATAAAAAATACACATAAATTAAAAATAATTCTAATTATATAATTTTAATTTACCAACCAAACGTTTTTTTTAAGATGTTTAAAACGTTTCGCATGTTTCTCCCCCAAAATTAACCGGGTAATTTTTCTCTTTTTTTTTTGCCGTGGAGAAAAACAATCAGGTGCAGGCGTAATTAAATAAGCCGCCATGTGTCAAGCTCTGATTGGTATAATTTGTTGTGGATCCGCATGGGCTGCTTATGGGCCACCAGATTAAAATGCCCGCCATGTTTCAGTTCATCGTTGAATGGAAAAACGCACAACCATGAACGACACCACACTAAATCACATGGGTGGGAAGAAGGTGGCTGATACCTTTCCACATGTCTTGCCTTGATTAGTCTGAACGAGTAAGTGGCGAGACCCACCTGCAGGGGCACTGACGCGTTTGTCCCTTGTCCCCTCTGAACGCGCAACTCTCTGCGCGTGTCAAACACACGCCATTCACAGACGTTGACTTGTTTAATCCGACAGCCTGATATAAATCCGAGTTTATTTTTTTAAATATTATTATTTATAAATATTTATTTGTTAATTTTGAATTGATTTGTGGTCCGATTTTGTCGGTTTTAACACTGTTTTGCGTCAAATTCTCAATCCTAGGTAGATAAAAATTCTATAAATAATCAAATTAAATTCAACAAAAATACACAAATAAAATGAAATCACGTCCAATTAAACAAAACTGATCAGGCCTATCGGCCTAATCCCTCTGCTACCACTACAGACCCTCAAAAAATTTTTATAATTAAAACTCTGCCACATATGTCACAAATATAACCTTTTTAGGTCGTACCAAATAGAATTCGGATTACCGTACTCTAACACATTTTTGTGTGTGTATTTTTTCCCTTTTTATAACTATTTTGAGTAAATCACGTGCGTGACTTGAAATCATTCTATTTTTCCTAATTATTATTATTTATTATGTTTATTTATTTTTAAGTGATTTGTAGCCCACTTTTTAGCATCGTTTTGCGCCGAATTTTCAATGATACACAGATAAAAATATATAAATAATTTGTATGAATTATAGCCATATAACTACCATCTTGCACCAACTTTCCAATACTACTCACATAAAAATGTTGTAAATAATTCTAATGAAAAAACAAATAAAAATGTGTTGAGCTAAAATAAAATAAAATCACACCAAATTAAATAAAAAACAAATTCAAACAAAACATAATAAAACTAATTAAAAACACAATAAAATAAATTAAAAAAATTTTTGGGTGAGAGCTATCCTTTTTTTCTTCTTTAATCTTTTTTGAAAAACAATTATATAACCATAACAAATCACACGCCCATCGCGCGCGCCAAAGACTAGTTATACTAAAAAGGTTCTGTAAGGTAAAAACATCAAGCATCCAAAAGGATACGTAATCCCTTTGAAAAAAACAAAAAAGAAATATACATAATTATCATGTCACAAAAGAAAAAAAAAAGCTCATATAATGTGTAAAAAGAAAATAAAACAGGATGAGCGAGGCATAAATAAACTGGAAACATCATTAAAAGTCGTGGTTTGACCAATTGCAAAATTGACAAGAGTCCATGCTTGAGTAGGTACTGGAAGTTTGCTACACCAAATCAGAAAAAACCCCTGAACCAGACATTGCCTGAAAACCAAGATTGATTAGTTCCCAGGATATTGGAAATCCTATTTTACATATCATTCACTGCTATAATCCATGGGGGAGCATCTTACCTAACTATAAGCCATGGTCGTTTAGTGCTTTCAAGGATGCTGCCCCGATAGAACGATACCATGTCCTCTAAGCAAACATATCAGAATCAATTTGCTCAATATTTGGGAAAATTTGTCTCAAAGTAGTAGAATAACCGGGAGACTTTGCCTGGAATGTGGAAAGAAAGATCAAACTTGGAAAATTGAAGCAATATAAAATATAACTGGTACGATGTATCAAATTGTAAGTTGATCAAGCGTAAATTGGGAAGGCAATGACCAACCAATAAAATGAAGGAATACAGTTAAAAGGCCAATGACAAAAGCAGTCGGAGATTTCCTTCTCTAAAATCCATTTTGAGGCCACAAGTGTAAATGCTATAGAAATCCATAACAAAGCATCTGGAAAATCGATCTAGCAATCTAGTTATTCACCTAGACTTAAAACTGGTCGTGTCAAAGTCTCAAACAAGAGGAGAAAAAATTGTGCTGTTGTTACTTGTTAATTGAATTGGTTATGAATATACGATGACCAGAGTTGAGCAATGACATAATTCAAATAGAGCACATCAATAAAAAAAAAAAAAGGATGGAAAACAAGGCTTTGTTTGCTTGACAATGAAATTTGTACAAGCAAATGGAACTATCTAAGCAATCAATTACAGCTCGGAGTCTAAAAAATTTAGGACAATCAAGTTGCAAGGGACCATACACATGGATTGTTTTCGAGGTAGATAGTTGTAAGCTTGTCTCTTGAACCCACAACGGCTTCAGCAATGCCTTCAAGCAGTTCAATTTGGTTGTCATTCAGCCATAGGTCTTCTAATCTACCAAAATTTTTAATCAAAAGAGCAGAAGGAAAAAAAAGGGTCAGTAAAATTAGCAGTGGAAGATAAGATGTCACTATTGGAGAGTGAGGAAAGGGACATACTGTGTCAGGTTTCCAATATCACCCACAGAAGTTATCTTATTCGATGATACATCCAAGACCCTAAGGTTGACTAAGGTAGATAAGCCTTCCATTTTGGAAATCCCATTATGGCTCAAGTATAGTTCTTCTAGAGCAACACATTCCTATGATGAGGACACCGAAAGAAAGAGTTTCATTATCAATCATGCAACAGAAGGATCTGTTCAATTAAAGAGATTATTTTACAGCCAGACAACAGAAATCTCACAACATCCAGAAGGCGTACCTCAAATCCCTTCATAGAAGTTAAACGATTACTTTGCAAGCTAATCTTCTTGATGCATTTCAACCCACATAAATTCACAGCCTTGATACGATTCCTTCCCAGCCACAACTCTTGTAAATTTGTCAAATTTTGTAAATTTTCCATAACCTGTGTTAAAAATGCAAGCCTTAGAATTGAACCAACATTCAACAAGGTTAACATACATATTAGTAAAGATACAGTGGTATAGAGAATAGCTTACCCGCAATCTGTTGGATCCCAGTTCAAGAATTTGCAGTTCATGAAAGTGGTCAATCTCTTCAATTTTAGGAACTTCATTTTTAGATACATATAGTTCCTTAAGGGTGTTGCTGACATTGGACAATCCATGTAAAGCAGTAATCTCATTGAAAGAAACATCAAAGACCAAAAGCCGCTTGAATATGCTAGCATCAGGTATTTTCGTTAACTTATTGTCCCTGAAAACTAACTCCTGCAAACAAAACAACTTAAATAGAGTTACAAATATTCTTCACTCCTAAAAGAAGAAATCTTCAGGTGCAATTTATCCTTTTCCGTACTATTTTCCACAAGGGAAAATGTAAAACAAAACTATCAAGTGAAGCCGTTTAGTCCTACAAAAATATCTTTTTCAAGAAACAAATACAAGTAATACAAGGAACAATTCACTTCTTATGCAATTTCTTCACAGCCAAACAGTATCATACTATCATATGGCTTTCGTTTCGCACATTGCAATAATTTATTTAAACGTTTAGCGTTGATCATAAATCTCATACAATAATCAATCAATCGATTGATCCACACACACACACACACACACATATATATATATATCATAAAACGTGACGAGCTAGAAGAAGGAAAATACATTCCGAGACTCATGTTAGATTGCGTTCGCTCATTTCCTCGAGAATACATAAAGAGAAAAATGAAATCCCAAATGAATTGAATTGAATACCTCGAGGCCAGCCAAGGCGTGCCAGTGAGAGATCGGTTCGACGGCGGCGTCGTAGACGAGGTTCTGGCGCAGAGAGAGCTTCTTGAGGTTCGAGAGGTTTCCAATCCGAGGATCCAAGCTGGAGAGCCGATTCGCCGTGAGGTCCAACTCGGTCAGACTCGTCGGCAACTCGACCGAGTCGAGATCGTGGAGCTGAAAGCTCGTGAGGTCGAGGACTGTGGATGAGAGGTCGAGCTCCACCGTTTGATCGTCGTCATCCGCCTCTGGATTCGGTGCCGGCGCTGGCGCTGCTCCGGTCTCCGCCATTGAAAAGTAACTATAAAGCTTCAAAGGTTTGCGTACGTTTTCCCGTGGCTTTGTTCCTTTTTGTCCGACAAATACGATTGTCCCTCGTCCCTTTTTTTTTTTTTTTTTCAACACGTTTCCCGTCCTCGGTTTTGCAGATATGGATCCGGGCTTGGCCACTTCCATTCACTAATTTAAGTTTTTAATTTAAATTAATGTGATATTATGTGATAATTTTATATTATAATAAAAAAATTAAATGTGATTATTTTTAAATTTTTTTTATTATAACAAAACTCGAATCAGTGAAATGAACAAAAATAAATAAGAAAATCGGTAAACTCACAGATTTTTACTTTTTATTTTTTATTAATACATTTTAATTAATATAATTTTTTAATTAAATGATATTAATCAAAAATAAAATGTGAAAGTCTAAGATCTGTGTATTTTAAAAGGTATTTATCTTATTTTCTCTTAATAAAAGGGTTATGTACAATGTTCTGTTTCGAAAAAATTTAAAATTTTAGTTTTAATTTAAACTCATAAACTAAATAGGTTTATAAAAATTAGTGAATTTACCCATTTTTAGCTCTCTTCTTTTAGTGTAAAAAAATCATAAATGCCACTTAAATTATGTGATCTATTTTTACGTCATTGAGTGGTAATTTAAAATCCATACAATTTAATTCACTTGAACATATCTAATCTATTTATGTGTAATGGCATAAATGTAAAGTTTATGCATTACGGTAGCAATGCATGTAATTTTCTCTTTCTTATTTTCACTTATTTTGTTTTGTGTTATGTTTTTAAGTGTCATCAAAGATAGTGTTTTTAAAATAGTTTTATTCTGTGGGAATATAGAAATGATAATTTTTTTGGAATAGCTATGATTCTCTCTCAATTTTGAGCATTGTGACATTTTCGTCTATAAATTTTTGACTTAGGCATATTTAATCCTTGAACTTTTATTTTTTGATAGTTTTGGTCTCTCAATTAACAAGCGATTTATAAAATTTAGTCTAGATAATTATATCATTATCACATAATTACATAATTTTATATAAATAACTACATTATGTGCAAAATATTATAGTTTTTTATGTAAAATTTTAAATTATCATACGATAGACACATGCTTTTTTTTAGTAAATTTTAAAAATCATTCATCAATTTTATTGTCAATGACTAAAACTGTCAACAAATGAAAGTTCAAATACTAAATATGTTTAAATTAAAAATTTAGGGATCAAAATATCACAATCCTTAAAGTTTAAGAACTAACAGAGCTATTAACCTTTGCTTAAAATGTAAACCATTACTTTATTAGTTGAGGAACAAACCGAAGGGAAGTTATGTCGACGGTCGCTTTATTTGATTAGGTAGAAAGAGAATTAACGGGGAATAAAAAAGAAATTAACAAATACTTATTAACCACAAAGTAAACGAGTGGTTTACTTATAAAATGAGGGTGGTTAACTTAGGCCCCGTTCATTTCGCCGAATCGAGTTTTGTTACAGTAAAAAACTCTCAGAAATAATCACATCTAATTTTTTACTACAGTAAAAAGTTCTCACATAAAATCACATCTCAATTTAAATTAAAAACTTAAATCAACAAACTGAACGGGCCCTTATTAACCCCGCATTTTTAACAAGGTTCAGGCCCTTTGTTGAACCTGATATTTTGAGTAAGGTTGCACTTACGAGCCTTCCTACCTTACTGTGCAGCCTTCAGGCCTTACATTCTTTGCAGGGTTGCCTACTTTGGCGACCATTAAGAGCCCATTTATTTTATAAATTTAAACTTAAATTATTAATTCTGTTATAATATTTTATCTCATAAATATTTTATCTCACAAAATGTTTAAATTTTAAACGTTTAGAATTAATAATCATAGTACACATTCTAAATGAGAACACATTGTTAATTCTACATATATGCAATTGTTTTTTTTTTTTTTTTGAAGATTCAATTACCCTTTATTTTTGATAATTACACCTATTGCTAAAACTAGTGGTCGTATTTTCTCTGGGTACATATTCAAATATTATCATGCCTTATTATGTAACTGTTTAATTGTTAGATTATATTGTTGGCTCTGTTTATTTCGCCCGATTCGAGTTTAGAATTCAAATTTTGCTACAGTAAAAAGCTCTCAGAAACAATCATATATAACTTTTTTGTTACAATAAAAAATTCTCATATAAAGTCACATCTCAACTCGAATCAACGAACTGAACGGACCCTAAAATTTCGGTTAATCGATCTTTTTACATTTTTACCCCTTAATAAATGAAATGTTCCCAACAAACACGTAACAATAGTCAGAACTCAATCGATTCTTCGTCTAGACATCACGCCATTGATGGTTCAGGTAATTTTTGGGTGTTCACGAACATAATAAGGGAAGGCCCTGTCACGTGACATGCCATTTCAACATAGAGGATAGCACGTGCCGCCTGATTTGAACTCAACTTGAACCTAGAAGAAAAGCCCCCAAAAATTAAAAAGAAGAGCTTTTTTCTCTTCTCTTCTTCTCCTTCTCGTTCCTCCCCTCTGCAAATCGAAGGGGGCAGCCATGGAAGCCTTGCTCATAGACTGTGTTCACCACAGCCTTCACGATTTCATGTACCGCAACGCCATTTTCATCTGCGAGCGTCTCTGCGCCGAGTTTCCTACCGAGGTACCTTTCCTTCACCGAACTCTTGCCCTCGTTCTTTCTCTCTCTATTCGTTTCTTTCTTCCTTCTACATCTTTCCTCTGTTTGGATGCCGGGAAATTGCGAGAAAATGGGGAGGGGGGTGCAAATGTTAGTAATCGTATTTTAATTCCTGAAGTTGTATTTGTTTCTCTTACCGGCGTTTCTCAGCGAGCAAACGGGATATTAGCGTTAATTACCAAGATTGATTGTTCGTGCTGTTTAACGGTTTAGATTTTATTCCGCATTTCAGGATTTTGTATTTAAGACGTATTATTTTGTTGTTACTTGTTTGATTTCTTAGTTGTTTTGTCTTGAATTATATGTACAACGGATTCAATTTTCTTTCCGGAACAAATTTTCCGAGAAGAGATTAGGAAGTAGTTTGTTCAAGGGTTCAATAATTCAAGCTTCGAATTGAAAATGCTCTGATTAGATAATTGTTTTGAAGTGAAAGCGAGACTGTGAAGTTTTGGGTAAATTTTGAAAACGGGATTTCTGGGTTTTCTTTACTTTTGAAGCTGATTAGTTGGTGCCTAATAGTGTTTACCATAAGCGATTCATTTTCAAAGTTTGGGTTCTTTTTTTTTTTTTTTTCCTCATGAAGTTTGCGCTGTACTTTTGTTAGGCTTATGAGCTCCGCTTTTTCACGTTACTTTTTGTTTAATCCTTCATCGTAAGTTTCTTTGCTTATTTAGATGTTTAATCTAGCTGAAGGGATATATATTGTTTTTTAATGTTAATTTGCAATCTATTTGATTAATTTATACAAGGCCTCTCAAGAAATAAAATTTTCTTATGCAGTCAAATTTGCAATTATTAGCCAGCTGCTATTTGCGCAACAATCAAGCTTATTCTGCCTACCATATACTGAAGGGTACATATTTCATAAATCTCTTCCCTCAGCTTAATTTTCCTAGAATTTATGATTAAATTTACATGATTCTGTCTTCTTTTTTCTTATTACTCATTCGGGTTTCTTTTGTTTTCTTTTGTTTTCTTTTCTTCTTGGTTTGGTCTTCATGTTTCTTTTCATCTCACTATCATGCAGGAGCACAAATGGCTCAATCCCGCTATCTGTTTGCAATATCATGCTTCCGAATGGATTTTCTTAATGAAGCTGAAGCAGCATTGAGCCCTCCTAATGAGCCGAGTGCAGAGGTAGTCTATGATTCTTACTTGGGCTTCATTTGGGAGTTATTTCTAGACTTAAACTGCCCTTATTTGGGCATTTCCTTTCACAATCTACCATCTTTCTCGTGGCATTGTTTGTGTTACAAATTACAATAGAGGACGCATCGGTCTTTATATTTTCTTGTTTGTTTGTACATCCAGGTCCCAAATGGCGCAGCTGGTCATTACCTTCTTGGGCTTATTTACAGGTTATTTACCTATGATCTTCTAGTGTTGCTAAACTTCAAAAGCTTTTGTGCATGTCTCTTAGTTCTGTTTCTTTGAAAGATCATACGCTTCTTAAGACCTGTTTGTATCATTGGGTAGCAAAATGTATAGACACCTCATATTTGTTATTATCGTTATTCTTAACCAAATTGTTTCAAATCTCTCTCTACCGTCTCTCTGTACTATCAAATGCACAAAACATACTGCTCTTTCATCTTCGTGCATTCACTTATATGTGGGACATACTTATTACATATTTAAAATGGCCAGTTAATTGCTTTTGATTTTGGTTGTAGGTACACTGATAGAAGGAAAAGCGCAGCACATCACTTCAAGGAGGCTTTGTCAATTGATCCATTAATGTGGGCTGCATATGAGGAACTCTGTTTGTTAGGTCTGTAAAAAGAAACCTGTATGTTTTCAGGCAGTGTTGCTCTACTACTGGTGTAATTGAATAGTTCCAATTGCATCATTCAATTATTGTCTTTTTTATGGCTAAACATATAACATTTGTGCATACATGCGATAGCATACGTGGGAGGAATTTGCAATGTTTAAGGGTCTGTTTTCAATCTAATAGTATTTATCTTAGAAGGAACTATGAGATCTAATCGTATTTGTAACTAGGCCATGCAATTTTTGATGATGAGCAATGTCTCTTGATCAAAATGTCAATGTTGTTTCTGAAAGAATATCCTTATATTCTAACATGGACCAAGATTTGATTGACCTTTTTTTTTAATGAATTATCTAAAGTAATCTTTTTGCTTTACTTTTGCCTCTCCGTTCTCTTTCTATGTTGCGTGCATATTGTTATCCATTTTACTTGATGATGTTTTGAATTTTTGGAAATCTAACTTGAAGAATGAAAGTAGCTCATTGGGGCTGAATTGGTTCATTTTCTCCTCAACTAGAAACTTCACAGTGAAGTATTTTATGTTGTCCATTTGATTTGAGTTACTGTTGGTTCTTTTGGTATTACAATCCCATTCTTGCTTTGATTAATCAATTTCTTTGTACTTTTGAAGCATGAATCTCTATTTAGTAAGTTTTGCTAATGTTTGCTTGTTTTTCAATACTTGTTGAGGTTGGTGACTTGGTGCTTTATCTTGTTTGTTGTTTCAGGCGCTGCTGATGAAGCATCTACAGTCTTTGGGGAAGCAGCTGCTCGTTGCATGCAGAAACAGTACCTACATCACAGGTCAGCTTCCCAAAGTCTGCATGTGTCAAATGAGGATCGTAATTTTGCTTCAACAAGGAATTTCTTGAGCTTGGAAGATGCCAGTCCCAGGCAATTGAAACACGTGCAAGGCAATAACATTAGAGATATTCCAGGAAATTATTATAATAATACTGTCTTGGGAGGACCTCCTGCTCAGTCTCTCACTGGAGGCTCTTCTAACTTATCATTTTATAATACTCCTTCACCAATGGCCACACAGGTATGGTAATCGGTCTTGTATCGTGGAAGTTTTGTGTTTTTTAGTACTGTTTTGTTTTTGTTTTTTTCTTGTACCTCATATAAGGTTTTTAACACAATATCCCCCAAAACTGATTGATTTCTTTACATTGCAAAGTATAACTTTATGTCGGATTCTTCCTTGATTGATGAAAATGTGCTGGTGATGAAGCATATAAGAATATTGTAGATCTAGTTTGGTTTCTTATCTATATGAATTTACTACGAGCTTGTGCGTCCTTAAATTAATTAATATGCAGATACCACTATTCTGTTTACTAAAGTATAAGTGGCCTTTAGATATTTGAATATTCCATTATTCCTTTGCATTGTGTATAAAGTCCAACACATTTTGTATCTTCATTTTATTGAAAATACTGTATTCACAACTTTCTGCTTCCTCTGTGATATCAATAATTTAATACTCATGGTAGTGAAGTTCATATATGCTATTGAACTTTCTTTTGGATTATGGATGTGGTCCACTCCTATTAGGTTCCACTCCCGTCCGTAGAGCAGCCTCTTTATTGCCAATAATCCATTGCTCTAAGTTCATCAATCTTTTGCAGTTCTCTGGTGTTGCTCCACCACCTCTATGTCGAAATATACCGCAAAATGGTCCAAATCTAAGCACGGTTGGTGCTGATAGCTTACCAAAGTCAACTGTAAACTCTACTGTGCAAGCTCCTCGAAGAAAGGTTGTAGATGAAGGAAAACTACGAAAGGTTAGGAATATTTAGATTCATATAAGTAATTCTTTTTCTGCTCAACTTATTTGGATCATCAAATCATAACAAGTCCATACTACTTACATAGTTCACCTTGATTACAAATAAGAATCTAGTCATATGTGAAGAAACATTTTCTTCACAGCCAGTTCTTTGGCCAGATATTGTAGGTAATGTTTCAAGGGACTGTATTGGAAACGAAGTACAAAGTCATGTGTTGTCTTTTTTGCCATACTCTCTGATGAACTCGTATACACCTTTTGGCATTTCCTTGTCCTGTAAAGTAATTGTGCGATCCTTTTATTTCTGAAACTATCTTACTAGTTTTAGTATCTTGTATTGTTTATTTATATTGCTGGCCTCTGCATATCCACTTATGTCTTAGTTGCTTTAGATTAGGTTGTTGTTTTCTGCAATAAGGATTTAGAACTTGGCCTCAGTATTTGCTCCTTTTGTTTCCAGATTTCTAGCAGGTTATTTATTGATTCCGGCACTCGAAGGAGTACAAGACTCTCTGGAGATGCGGGGCCCAATACTAATGTGGCTTCCACAACAGTAGCTGGAAATGGAACTAGCAACTCGTCTAAATATCTAGGAGGGTCCAAGCTCAGCTCTATGTCATTACGTTCTATGACCAATCGCAAAGGGCAAGCATGGGCCAATGAAAATATTGATGAAGGTGATGCATCTCTTTTATCTCTCATTAATTCAATGAACACACTAAAGTAAATAACAAAATATTTTCTTTCATCAACATATGTTGCATAATTTTTCTGTTAGTAGATTGATTAGAAATGGATATGATGATTATATACACACATGTGCGCACACATATAATACGAATTTCTCTCGTACTTGTTGTATATGGTTTTCTTCTCCAAGAGATATTAAACTCATGGTATTTTGATGTTGATCCTGTTCAGGGGTACGCAATGAGACTTTTGAGGATGCGCGGTTAAGTAGGAATGCAACAACTTATGGTCCATCACCTTCTGGTGATGGTAGATCTCATGAACAAGAAGGGGCAACCATGCCTGGTGGTGTTATCATGAATAGTTCAAGAATCATTACTGGAATAGCAGAAATATTGAGCCTTTTGGGAACACTTGGGGAGGGCTATAGGCTTTCTTGTATGTACAAGTGCCAGGTAAAATCTTAATTATTTTTGAAAAAGAGATCATTTTCTTTACTGCCTTGCGCTTTTCATTGATTCTTGATTCTACAGGATGCATTGGATGTCTATCTAAAACTTCCACACAAGCACTACAACACAGGCTGGGTTCTTTCCCAGGTAACTTTTATTGTGCCACAGTTCTCACCTGGAGTTTATTTCGTCTCCACTTGCATTCTTTTTGTAAAAATGCATAGTTGGTTACTTTCCATCCACGTCTGTTGCTAGTCTTCCTGTTGATGGAAATATGTTTGGTTGCTTCAAGAATGTTGAACAGCTAATATAATAACTTTTTATCAACGAATGTACCCTCTTTAAATTGGCTAACTTTTCTACTTTATAAATTTTAAAGTTGCGTGGAAATAAAAACCAGCATCAAACTTTTTAACTTGATATATTATCTCCTGTGTCAAAGTTTATCCTTTCTTTCAACAATATTATGGGGTTTGTTTTCATGCCTTTTCTTCTTAGTTGATTTTTTTTTTTTTCCTTTTCCAACACTTGAATATCCGCCTCTACCTGACTAATGGGCGTGTTGAAGTGCAGGTTGGGAAAGCATACTTTGAGTTGGTAGATTATTTAGAAGCTGATAGGGCCTTCAGTCTTGCCCGACGTGCATCACCTTACAGTTTAGAGGGAATGGATATATCTTCTACAGTTCTTTATGTGAGTGTTTTTATTTCCCCTTAATAGGAAATAAAAATATTGGAATTTGGTATCGTACGATTGGGGAAAAGACAGATTGGTTTTCAGAGAATAGTGTCGTCTTTATGCTGATGTGTTTGTTGAAGTAAGTTCCTTTCAAAGTAAAAAAAAAATAAAAATAAAAAAGGGAAAAAAATAAGAAGTAATAAACATACAGTTCGCCTTGTTGATCCCTTGCCCCCCCCAAAAAAAAGGCTGATAACTATGAACTTAGTTCCTAGATCATTGGTTCTTTTATCTTATGCTAGACACGTGTGTGTGTGTGTCTTGTTTCTCTCTTTTTTGCCTGCAACTTTATTGCTCAGTGAAAGTGATTATTATGTGTGTTGCAGCATTTGAAGGAAGATATGAAGTTAAGTTACTTGGCACAAGAACTGATATCAACTGACCGCTTAGCCCCGCAATCTTGGTAGCTTATAGATTTGTGGTTATTGTGACTGTTTGGACCCCCATTGCCATAAATGGTATTCCTTATGTCTGTTTTACTAAATGAATTGCAGGTGTGCCATGGGAAATTGTTACAGTTTGCAGAAAGATCATGAAACTGCTCTGAAAAATTTTCAGCGAGCTGTCCAACTTAATTCAAGATTCGCATATGCACATACTCTTTGTGGTCATGAGTATGATAAATCCTTTTTATTTTTTCCTTCTCTCTTATATATATATATATATATATATAATTGGTACCGCAGAACAGCTTGCACATTAAATCTTTTGCTTATACATCTACCCTTTTTTTCCCCTTGCTTATGCACCTTTCTCTGCAGATATGTATCACTTGAGGATTTTGAAAATGGAATTAAGAGCTACCAGAGTGCGCTACGTGTTGATGGAAGACATTACAACGCTTGGTATGGGCTTGGAATGATTTATCTTCGCCAAGAGAAATTCGAGTTCTCGGAGCATCATTTTCGTATGGCTTTTGAAATAAATCCACGTTCTTCTGTTATCATGTCTTACGTTGGTACATCATTGCACACGCTAAAGGTGTGTCTACTTAATAGACGGCTTCTTTATGTTACGGCTTCAAGTGTTGTTTTGTTGCTAACTTTCAGACATTGTGTTCCTATTGTATGACAGAGAAATGAGGAGGCTTTGATGATGATGGAGAAGGCTATTATGGCAGATAAGAAGAATCCTCTTCCCATGTATCAGAAGGCTAATATTCTTGTGAACTTGGAAAGTTTTGATGAAGCTCTAGAAGTCCTAGAGGAGCTTAAAGAATATGCCCCTCGTGAAAGCAGTGTTTATGCTTTGATGGGCAAGATCTATAAACGACGTAACATGCCCGAAAAAGCAATGCTTCATTATGGTCTTGCGTTGGATTTGAAACCTTCTGCAACTGATGTGGCTACCATCAAGGTGATTGTCTAATTCTGAATCTATCTTATTTAGTCTTTCATTGAATGTGATTTCGCAATGCACTTGGAGCATGTTAATATTTTTTTTTTTGGGTTCCACGTTCATACATTAGACCCTGAAATCCGCATAATTAACGTTTTCATGAATGATTGAAAGTTTCCAATATACACGTGTCAAACAAATGATTTCTCTTAAAATTAATCAAATTTCAAATGCCACATTTTTTGCGGTTTTCGCAAAGCTTCTAGCTGTCTCTTCGCACTTATTCTTTCTGTGGGATCTAGTTCTAATGTTGTTCTAAAATCAACGTATTGGTTTAGGTCCTCATTTTCTAATAAGTTTCTGGGATGCCCCTTAAAGAAGCACAATATCTGCGTTATGCTTATCTTTTCTGATCCCGATTTTGAACAGGCTGCCATTGAAAAGTTACTTGTACCAGATGAACTAGATGACAGCTTGTAGAGTTCAACCTGCTTCAGAATCATGCTGTAAAAGAGAAGATGATTTTTTTTATGAGGCTCACAAAATTCAAGCATCAAGGAGTTTGTTTGGCTTGCGCTTTCGGCGAACGAGCATGCAGGCGCAGGGTTATTTGTTCCCGCTAAGCGCTACTTCCAAGTTCCAACTGGCAGATGTTAAAATTGACCTCGGTTATGTGGGTAATTGACATTACTGACGGAGGATCTGATGTAACAATAATTCCACCAAAGCCGCCACACTTGTACGAATGTTTGTAAAATGATGTTGAGAAAAGATTCTTGTATCGTTAGCTTTTTTCCCTTGCCTTTTGTTTTGTTTTTTGTTTTTTTTTTCTTTCTTATTTTGGTTGTATCATCACATTGAGCCATACTTGTTCATAATCTTAGGGATTGTTCTTTTGCAACAAGACTCAGACAAATTTTGAATTCGAGTTACAATTTTATTTAAGTTCATGTTCTTTTGTAAAATTTGAGTTTGAACTCGAGTTTGGGGTTAAACTCGAGTTTAAGTTTTCCCTTTAACTTGAATTCATAAACTCAAACTTAAATTAATAAATAATATTTTTCTACTTTTAAAAATACTATAACTTTTTCGTTTTAATTCTAATTGAGATGATTTTTTTTCTATGCATTCATAATGAAATGACGAATAAAATCTCTCATATACCCTATTAAAATTTTTCATCACAATTGAGTTTTTATTAAAATGCTATTTAAATACAAATTTAAGTTGACCTATCTAAACACAAACTCAAAAAGATTTTCAACTCAAATTATAACTTAAATGTGTACATTCAAACACAAACTCAAGTTACAACTTCAATTTAAGTTATAACTCAAATTTAATTTAAAATCATCATTTAGGTCATCCTAACTCAAAAATGAAAAAAAAAAAAACCCCATTAAATTCCTTGTTCCTTCTTTTGAGTTTGAAGTCGTTTACTTTAGAAATATTGCAGAGGTTTTATTTATTTATTTATTAATAAGTACAGAACTGCATAGAAATGCTTTACACGTGCATTACTCTCGGCAGTTTTCTTATTGGTAAATTCTAAAATCTCATGTTGAATTTTGTCAATTGATATTTGATAACGTTAGTCGAAGTGAACGTTTGATTGTTATGTATGAATTAGCCACAAATAAAATGCTCGTTGGCGTTATTAGTGATTGATATCAAACAAGCAATCAAACTTAGAGAAAATTACAAGAACAATATCTATCCTGCGGTGGTGTTACATCTATCACTTTCTTCAGTCATAAGCAAAAAAAATAAAAATAAATAAAAATAAAAAAAAGCAAATCTACAAAATAAGTCATGGTAAGAATTATGATGATAAATTAAGAAAATTGGACAACTTGTCCTAGCAAGTAGCGACATTTTTAGGCCTTAGTGGGAGAGTGATTGTTGCTACTTGCTAGGACAAGTTGTCCAATTTTTTTAAATTTCGTTTAGTTTTCTGATTCGAATTTTTAATTTGAGTTGAGATGTGAATATATGTGAGAGTTTTTTAGTGTAGTAAAAAAGTTAAATGTAACTGTTTTTAAGAGTTTTTTACTGTAGTAAAACTTGAATTATAAACTAACGAGCCTTAATTAATCATCATTCTTCTTACCATGACTTCTTTTGCAGATTTGCTTTTTATTTTATTTTATTGTTTTTTTGGCGTCATAAGTAAACAGAGACCTACTAGATGCTTCCTTTTTAAGACTATTGACATATCCATTAAGTACTCGAAATTCAAACAATAATAAAAAAGAAAAGAGATTTTGCAGTAAATAGCAGATTTTCTAAACTTAAAGCAGTAAATAGCATAATAGTTTTAGTTAGCTTAGTAAATAACATAGGAATAAAAGTTTATAGCATATTTTAAAATTTTAATATATGGTGTACCAATTCGACCCTTAGAAGAGTTTCAGTGACGATGAGAGAGGATGAGAGTTTGTTAATGGTGATGACCAATGAGAAAAAGAGGAGAGAGAGTGAATGTGGTAAATAACCCAATTTCTATATTTCGTAAAATTAATGGTTTTACCATATAAATTGGCAATTTACTAGAAAGCAACTTCTTGTTTACAACATCATAACCTTTGTTTGACTAGTAAATCCACCATTTACCACTTAAATCCTCCATTTACTAAGTTGAGTAGAATTTTGTCTGTTGATAAATAAAGAATTTACAAGGTAAATGATGGATTTATCAGAAAATAATTTACTGTTTATAACATCAAAGCATCTGTTTAACTAGTAAATTCATCATTTACCATGTAAATCCTCGATTTACTAAATTAAACATAACCTGTTTGTTGATAAATGAAGCATTTACCATGTAAATTTTGCATTTACCAACATCTCACATTCAAACCCTAAAATCCACATGCAAGCAGAACCACCCCTTGATGTCTTTGGTGAGCTTCTTCGGCAATGATGGCGGCACGCTGGCGACACTAATGTGCTCGTGTCATCGTCAATGGCGAGATCGAATTGTTGTTGCTTCGCGCGACTCATTGTCTCGAAGTCCATGAGGTAAGGAGGCCGATGATAGAGGATGAGAGAGAGAGCGAGGAGAAAGAGAGGTTGAGCGAGGGAGGAGAGAGAAAGAGAGGGTGAGCAAGAGAGGGGGTGAGAAAGAGAGGGTGCGCGAGAAAGAGGAGAGAGAAAGAGGAACAGCGTGTGGGAGAGATCAGAGAGAGGGGAATTGAGAGAAAGAGTGACAAAATCAAAGAGTTTTATGACATTTACTAAATTTAAAATTAATATATGCTATAAACTTTAATTACCCACTCCATTTCTACTATTTCCCTCATTCACCCAAAAGAAAAGTGGAAAACATTATTCTCAATGATTATTACCCACTAAATTTTCAATCAGTAAAAAATTAGAGCCTTTTAGCAAATTTCACCAAAAAAAAGAGCATCAAAATTCTTGAATCATAATCCATGTCTTTAAAATTAACATAAATATAATATGTAATAAGTTAAAAATTAATTGTAATACCTAGCATTGCGATCTCATCACGAGTAATTGATACATATAATTGTTCGTTCATTAATGATGATTGATGACACAACTAGCCATGGAGAACATCTATGAAAATAAGAAGGAATATAATGCACGAATTCATAGATCCCATTAAAATCACACAAAAATAACAATGTAAGTAAAATTGACAGTTTTTTTTTTTTTTTTTTTTCCTAAATAAAGTTTACAGTTTTATTAATCCTTTTTTCACGTCGGAACGTAGGGTCTCGTGAAAACAAATGATCACAACCAACAAACTCCAAACTTATACTTATTCCACAAGGGCAGGGCAGTAGTACCAAACATGAGAAAAGAACGAAAACATAAGCAAAATATGGCATGAATACATACTCTAGTACTCCATTAATTATTCATGATTTGGTCACTTCAACGTAGGCTTGGAGAGCTTCTTCCATTCTTGTGGCCATGACTTGCAATCCTTTGCCTATAAAACCGTCCAAATCCTGTGGTTTCCATCCCTCGACCGGCTCGACTTCGTACCACCACTTAATGCTGCAGCCACCTTCCTCCGTCGGTGCCACTTTCACCGTCGAAACATACGAGTGAAACCCGACGTTGCCGTCCACAATTGAGTAGCTAAAAACCATCCGGGTCCGGTCAGTGGACAAGAGTTTCTGTTTAGTCCAGTTCACCCTGATCTCTTTCTTACTACTCGTTTTATTGTTACGATCGTCGACCGGAGTCTTGAACCCGGCACAGTACCGGACGCAACCGGGTTGCCCCGACAGGCCTTCCACGGGAAGGCAAATAGAGAGAGTTGGGAACCACTTGTTTAGGCCAAAGAAGTCTTCTAAGAGAGGCCAAACTTGTTGGGGTTTGCAGGTTTTTAGCTCCGTGCTTGCTTCGCCTTCCCATTTCTTTTGGTGTTGTTGATCATGATGATCAACCACTTGGCGATGATGATCGTGATGATGGTAAGCTGCAGTTTCCATTGTTGTGAAGTGTCTATGGAAAAGAAACTAAAGTCTTTTGCAAAGTTACAAAAACAGGTAGGGAACGAGATTAGTGATTAACTTGGTCTATATAAAGAGTGACTATTGCCGACAATTGATGTGTAAAAATAATGTCGTAAGTCAGCAATATTGCAGGTTCAATAATTGTCATGTGGTTGTGCTTGTGCATCACGTTTTTTTTGTTTTTTTTTTTTGTTTTGGGAGGGGGGATGAGATTTTGTGCATCACAATGACTAGCGTTTTTCACGTTTTTTTTTTTTTTTTTTTTCAAGGTTCTTTAATCACATCTCGAACATTACAGTACATTAATACACGTACTAAAGGAGAGTCTTCTTTATTACTGTTTACTCTACAGTTTTATGAACAGTAAACTTTTTTTAACCTTTTAAATGTATATTTACCGTTCTGCCCTTTGATGTTTGTTTACCCCACCTGTTTTCAGCTGGCATTTTCGTCTATTTATTGTGGTATTTTTTTTTTAGAAAAAAATTTACGAGTTGCGGGACAAGTGAGACATGTGGTGTGAATGTGTTGTTTGTGATGTTGGTTTTCTAATGAACGTGGGGTCCACTTATTTGTTTTCATAGGGAAAACAAATTTTCTCTATTAATTGTGGAGGCCAATTATGGTCCAGAAAGAGAGAGGAGAAAATTTCTTTTCTCTGTTTTACGTTTTTGCCCTTGGTTGTTTTTTCATTAATCCGTTTTTACTTTGAGCTTCTTCGTCATTTCGCTGTGCTTTCAATGTCTTCTCCTTTTTTTCTCTTTTATTTTGTTCTTTGGTGTTTTGTGTAAATCCTTTAATAATTTTGTTGGCAGCCAACGACATTGTTCAGTAATGTTTTAGCTATTAATGATATATGTTGTTGGTAATATAAGAAATGATAAGCAATTTTATTGTATTTCCGTTAATTGTGGGAGATTTGGGACTTGTTCTTTTAGAGTGTGACTTGAGTGTAGTTTTTGAGTTGAATTTGAGTTATAACTTGAGTTAAAGTTGTAACTTGAATAAAGTTGAGTAAAGTTGAATGAAGTTTGAACTTAAAAGAACGTGAAGTTAAATAAAATTGTAACTTGAGTTTCAACTTTTTCTGAATTTTGTTATAAAAGAACAATCCCTTGGTGATTTGTTCAGAGTTGTATTTCTGAACAAAAAAATAAATAAAGAAAGATTTATGTACGACTGAGTGTTCATTAGAGCGCATTTTCCTTCAACACAAATGTGAGCCTTTGAACATCAAAGATAAGCTTTGTATAAAATTTTATTTTTATTCAATGCTAAAGTTGTGAAGATATTTTATTAAGGTTGCCGAAAGGAGAATAATAAAAAAGAGGTATAGCAAAAAATAATAAATATGGTAGTATTTCTATTTATATTTTTTTAGTTTTATTTTTTTTTTACATATCTATATAAATATATAAATCACTTTCCTACAGATTTCGTCACTCAATTCAAACTCTGGAATATATCGCTGCATCAACAAAACCAACTGTATCATTACAAGAACAAAAAAGTTTGAATCGTATAACAATTTCTGAATTACGAGCGCTAGACCCATATCAAAATCAGGTAAGCATCTCTGCGATATAACTTATTCCATTACTTATTTATAAAAAAATAATAAAGAAATTCTTTTCTGTATTCCACAGGAGACAAAATACACAATTAGAGTGACTATCATTGAACACGATGGGTACCAAGGATGGTTTTATTATGCGTGCACTAAATGTTACAGACAAGTTAGGAAATCAGGGACATCTTGGTGGTGCAACACGGATGGATATCTATCCCCTTGCTTGGTAATGACATTTACCATAAAAAAATGGCATTTAAGTTATAGATTCATAGTTAAAACAAATTTAAATTTTTATAAACATGTACAAAATTAATGTACACATAGAAGATAACACGAGAAGAACGAACTCAGTCATGTTCAGGAAAACTGTTCAATCACTCATAAATAAAGCTTGCTCTACACTTACTTATGAAGAATGATACACTGACCGTTATACAATTCCTTCCATTTTACAACAAATTAGAGGAATGTCAAAACTATTTGTTATACAATTTCATAGTCGAGGTGCTTTTATTGATACAGTTATTTTAAAAATTTTCAGCGATGATGAATCTCTATTGTGCTTACCTCCAACAACATCAACATCTTCAAAAACAACCCCATCGATTTCGAAACTACCATAGTAAGCTACTATTAATATCTTATTCTTTCTTTCCTTTTAATGTTAATAAAGCATCGTTCTTAGTGTATTAATATTTATTACTATACAGTCATTACCATCTACCTTTTTCGACACAAACTGAATCTACTTCTTCAATCAATTCCTCAAAAAAATGAAAAACAATCAGGTAATTCTAAACGTTACATATTAAAATATTTATTTTCTTAAATGTAAACAAATTTATTATTATTTATCATCATCTATTAATAAGTAATCCTTTTTTTCTTTATCTTTATTGCAGCTCCGAAGAAACCAAGAAAAAACTAAAGAGGAATAAATATGTATGCATATATAGACACATAAATATATATAGCTTTCAAACTGTACTGTCATTATGTACCCAACTTTGTATTAATTTTTGAGTATCGTAGACAAATATACATCCGTGCAATGGCACGGGTAACTCACTAGTTAATACCATAAACAAAAAAGTATCTCTTGGCTACTATTAAAACGGGACTCAATAATTTTATAAAATATATTATCCGGATATCTCTTTTCTGGGACATATATTATTCTTTTCAGCATGATGTTAGTCAATTATGGATCCAAATTCCTCATCCATTTTTAGTGTCTTAATTAGTATCTAACCAATCAAATTATACTACATCATTTCATGATAAGCACAAAAGAGTTGGTTAAAAAATAATTAAATTTTTTTTATACAATGTGGCATGATATGATTAGTTAGACACTAATTAAGGCACTAAAATTGGACAAAAAAGTTAAGTCTGTCAATTAAATATTTCGTTTTCATAAATGTCGGGTTTAAATTTGATGCGATGTTACTTAAGATTTTTTAACGTTGGATTCAACATTTTGTAAAATGGTTGGTTGAAACTAGCTAAAAGCTCGCGCGTTGCAGCGGAAAATACTGTTGTATTTACAAAAAGTTAGAAATTTTTATAGTATAGAATTAGTTTTGTAACGATTCAGCTCTCCCGGACCGTTACTTAATTACGTTAAACTTAAACTTTAAATCTCTTTTTAACTTTTTAAAAGCAAACTGATATACTCTAAATTTAAGGATATATTTAAAAAAAAAAAAAAAACTAGTTTATAAATCGTTTTTCTTTACTTTGCATTAAGGCAAGCAAAGGAAGTGGAAATAACATTTAGTCTCAAACATGGTAATCGCACTAATGTTCAAATCCAACATACTTTTAATAACATATTTTAGTTTCTAAGTACTTAGAATTTAAAACACACATATAAATAAGCATCGCAAATAAAATTTGCATGTAGATATTTTCTAAACCATAAATTAAACACATCTAATTCTCAAAATCAAAACATAAAATGGGGAATAATTATTTACATGGTGGTATCCAGTTCCTAAACCTCTGCCTTACACGTCCATCGCCAAGTCCCTCAATAGGTTGTAGGCTTTTTTCCTACAGCATGAACAAACTGATGAGCTAAAGTTCAGTAAGTACAAGTATCCTCACAAAACATTTGCACACAATATCACATATATAGATGCATGACTTTTTATGCTCAATTATAGAATATATTTTATTCTCAGGGCCTTGTGCTCGTACCGGTTTGTGAGCGACCAATGGGGTACCGGGAGAGCTACCCAAACATTTCGTCCAATAACACCCAAGAACTAATTAATTATCAATTATTATTTCCCTCGTGGACTCTCAACACCCCCGCGCGGAGTTGGTACAACACCTCTCTAATTCTCATTACCTTTGCCTCAATTTAAGGTGAACATGCAATTATGATCATGTCACATAAGTATAACGAATACAAATTAAACTCTAGAGGCAATATAATATAATAATCAATATTTATGCCACAAAGTATAATACATAAAATACTTTATATGACATACTTTACTCAATACTCGACAATCACATCACAGAGAATCGCATCATGTAAACAAACAATCTCTCAAGCATATATATATATATATTTTAAAACTATTCATGCTGTAGGTAAGGTTTGTACTCACCTAGTGATTGCAATTAGTGTTTTCCTACAACAAACTGGATTCTCAACTGTGTTCTTTAAACTGTTCTCAACGTCATAAGTGTGTGTTCAAGTTGTACAAACAAATCAATGTCAGTTCACTTTCAAATTCTAATTTACTTAGCTTAAGTTTTACCAATTATGACTTACAGACATTTAGGGATTAATTCACTTAATTACTTTGATCAGCTCTTCCCGTTAGTTATCATCCTGGTGATGGTTGTCGTTTCTTTGTCCCTGATTCCTTTGATAAGCTCTGAACTCTTGAAGTCGAACCTCATGGATGAGCCTTTCAATTTCATCCTTCAAGTTCATACAACCGTTAGTATTATGTCTAACTTCTCTATGGAACTGACAATACTTGTTCTAGTTTCTTATGTTTGGGTCCGACATCATAGGTTCTGGTCGGCGTAGCATGTTTCCTCTACCAACCTGGTTATAAATTTCTTCAACTCCAACAATCAACTCATGATAAGTGTCACGCCGTTGGAACGGGCGAGGCCTTCTATTGTCTTCTTGCCTCGGCTTTTTTGCTTCTGACTGATTAGAGGTTGAAGCTATCTGCTCCTTTGTTCTTTTTTTTATCTATGCTCAGGGTTATTAGCCTCGGCCTCCTCAGCGTTGATGAATCCTTACACCCTAGCTAGAAACTCTTTATATGTAGAGGGCGGCTTGTGATTGAGGTCGCGCTTAAATGGTGTGCCTTTTTTCATACTGGAGAGGGCTCCCATTAAAGCCTACCTATCAGTCATGTCGGTGGTTGTGGCGAATGCTTCACCGAACTTTTCCATCCATTCCTTCAATGATTCATTTAGCTTCTGATAGACCATTGTCAAATTTTATTTCGGTG